TATAATTACTCTTGGTGCGGCCGATGTAAAATGAACATGAAATGAAATGAAATAACATTAGATATACCACCAATAACTGCTAATAGATGCTCAATTCTTGCCTAAAGCAGTCAGCATCAAACTAACAGCCAACTAAGCAAGCGACCAATCAACCACCCGACCAGTCAATCAACCAAATAACTAATCAACCAACCAACCAGTCGACCAGCCAACCGACCGACAAACCAATCTACCAAACTACCAACCATTCAACCACACTACCAGCCAATCAACCAACCAACCAATCAACCAAACTACCAACCATTCAACCATTCAACCAAACTACCAGCCAATCAACCAACCAATCAACCAAACAGCCAACCAACCGATCAACCAGCAGTAGTCATCAATTTGTTTTGATACTCATCAATTTCCGTGTTATCTAGATTAGTTTGGTGTTGAGAATCTTTATTGGACGAGTCCGATCTTCAGGCCATTACATTCTAATATTCATATCGACCGCCGTGTGTGAGCGTGTGTGCGTGCGTGTACGTGTGATTTTGTGTGCATATGTTTGAAATGGTGTCTGTCTGTATCTGTGTGTGTGCGTGTGTGTGTGTGCGTGAATATTCGCTTGCATGCATATTACTGCGGGACCGTGCAAAAAAACATTATTCTGTTTAAAAAAGAATTTTGTTTTGTATAAAACCTGTATCCATATACATATACGTGTCTGCTTATTTGTATCTGTGTCTAGTTACGTACGTATGTATGTTTATATATATTTTTATTTATAATTCGTAGAAATAGATTCTTTTATTAACGGTTTTAAACCTTTTAGTTTAGATTTCCCATTTTACGAATTTATATTTTTTTTATTTAAATCCAGATCAAATACATAAGTTCACCAAGATTACAATTATTACAATTAACTAACATTATATTCATTTGAGCATTTATACGTGCATATATGCGTGTCCTAACGTGTCACTGAATGCACGATTACCTAAAAAAAAAAGCTCATTAACGAACAACAATTAAGAATCATCTTTCTGGAATTCCAAGAAATGACGTCATCAAGATGGTACTAGGGTAGGATGGTTAAGACGCCTAGTCCTAAGTGTCGAAAAGAGGGTTAGGGTTATTCGGCATATCAAGTGTGCGTGATGTGTGGATTCGCGTGCATTCGTTTGCACACACTTTCTGGAAATGACGTCATCAAGATGGTACAATTAGTGTGTGTGTGCAGTTAGACCTTCCGAGATTTATTCAAAAGACGGCTGTGAAAAAGTGAAAAGAAGATTAATGAAATTAGACATCGGAGAAAAAAATTGACAAGAAACAAAGACAACGATGGCAACAAATGTCACACTAAATTCAAAAATACCAATACGAACAATATACAAACAAACAATACAATACATACAATACGTATATACAAAAAAACATACAGACAATATAAAACTCACATTACATATATACTAACATATTTACAAACAATAAAAAACAAACAATACATATATACAAATAAAACTAAAATACATACAGTAACACGCATAGACCGACAATAAAATGCGGTATACATAACTAATAACATTACATACAAACATCACATACTTACATGTATACAAACATATAGAAAAAAGCATACAAACAAACAAACATACATACATACATACATACATACATACAAACAAATGATCAAACACAAAAAACATTGATGACAAGAATGGTCATACTGCGTCAACCAATGAATGGTCATTTTGAATATTTCAGATTGTATCTTATGTAATCAAATGCTGTTGAAACGTTTGATAAGCCATACATACATGAAGAATTCTTATATACTTGCATACACACACACACATGCACACAGACACACACAGACACACACAAACACACACATATCTACATATCTATATCTGTTTGCCGTTTCATCCCCAGAGTGTTCGCGTCATAAAATAAGTGGCGATGTAACGAAAATTATTTTTATCGTCGGATAAGTCGGTATTTGGTATGTGGAATTAAGTTTAAGTTTTTGTATATTTTTATTTTATTTATATATTTTGTTACTAGGATGTTTGTGTGTGTGTTTGTGTGTGTGTTTGTGTGTGTGTGCAAATGTTGTGTGTATATGGGTGGTTAATTTTTGTTCTATGGCTTAATGACGATAATGTAAATGGCCATCGTATTTTTATCATCATCATTAGCATCATCATCATCAGCATCATCACCACGACTCCATCATCATCATCATCACCATTGTTTATCATATTATATATATACATACCTATAATGCACCTATAGGTCATCAATACTGTTTTTTTTTCTAAAAATATGTTTCACTAGTTGGTTATTTTCTTTACTTTTTTTTGAAAATGTAAAATTTTTTTAAAAATGGCAGTTTGTTTATCGCTATACAAATTAAAAATGAAAAATTTTATATCTATGCTGACGTAATTAATCTGAGATAAAACAGCAAAATGGACATCCATGCTACACAATAATAAAGAAAACATTCTCCAAAGATACGAAATTTAAAATAATGTAACAAAACGTCCGCAAACAATTTCTATAAGAATACTCCACTTTATTATCGCCCGTTTATTTTTATTTTCAAAACGTCCGACCAGAACATAGAAAAAACAATTGACCCGTAGCATAGAAAGTGCATCGATCCATATACTTACACGTACGCTGTCTATTAATTTTAATGTCAGCATAATTTAACCCCGTCCTCCACGCTCATGTGATTTTTCTTACTTACTATTTCTGATTGTCACACGCCTGGTCGGCGTTTAACGATTAAAACTAACAAAAGAGACTTTGTGTGTGTTTCTGTGTGTGTGTTTCTCTGTGTGAATGTGTGTGTGAGTGAGTTTCTGTGTGTATGAGTTTCTGTCTGTGTGTGTGTTTCTGTGTGTGTCTGGGTGTATGGTTTTGTTTGAGAGCTTGTCACTGACAGTTTGCGTCTGTAATTAGGTAAAACGAGACAAATACTCTACGTTCAAACATACTTGTTTCGGGTCATTGATATACTGATAACAGATTTAAAAATAAATTTGTTTAAATATAGAAACAAATTTAAATAAATGTTAAAAAATATGAGAGAGCATCTAAATCTTTATTCAAGAGGAGGAAAGTTTCGTCAACAGGATAGAAGAACAAGAGCTGTCTATTAAAATGAATGGGCCAAAACTGTTTAAGCCAAAACGAGACAAAACGATGCGATAAAAAATGAAACGAATATAAATGTACCACAGTGCTAATCTCAAAACGAAACGAGACAAAACGAAACGAGACTAACGTAATTATAAAAGCGAACCACTTGCAAAGAGCTATTTATTTATTTGCTGGAATAGTGGTAAATAATATTTATTAATATGCCATTAATAATAATTATAGTTATACAGTGCACGTGGTAATTGGAAATTTCATTACACTCAAATCCAGTCACTGCAACGTCATTGCCATGTGTCTCAACCACTACACCGTCCAACCAAATTTATGGCAAAAAGCGTTGCTAGTATTGTAGATTGAGGTGTACTTTAATAACAGTAAGAATTTAGCAAAGTTTTTCTCTATTTATTTGTATTCGGTTACTTTAAGAAATGCACAAACTGGTGTTTTTGGCAATTTTCAATTGAAAATCTCATTTCTATTTTTGTGGCATTCTCATGACATTTATTTAGTACAAATTATTAACTTTTGGTTTTGAATAATTACAATTTTCAAAACTAAAAGCTTATGTAAAAATATTCGAAAAATCTCCAACCATAATTGTTATGATTTGCTATTTTTAATAATTTTTGTTTAGTTCGGTCTCTTAAAGTACAAAACTAAACGATTTCTAAAGTATTTGATAAAAAAAAATATATAGAATCAAATTTGTTTTAATTCACAAGGGATAAGTTTGCCTCTTAAACAATTATGCTTGACTAATGTGGCGTTTAATATTTAGAAAAAAATAAAACTCGCCATCTTGTTCGTTTTCCTATCTATGATGTTTCCGGTTCATGCGCGATTCAGGTCTTTTTTTGAGTAAATACATTGGACACGTGAGTTGTCTCGTTATTTTCTTCGATTTTCACCTTTTAATAATTTATTTTTAATTAATTAAAAGTTTTTTTCAAATATTTTATCCATAGACTTTCAATTTTTGTCATCGCCGATCGCGTTCGTTAGTTATTAGACATCTTATACGTTCGGATACGCTCCCACTTTTTTGCTGCTTTTTCGTTTTCTTTGTTTCTGAATTTTATTTTGTCATTTAATTTTAGTGTAATATTATCTCGAAATGTTTTTTTTATGTATTGTATTCAGGCAAATTTATTGAAAGCTGGCGTTACGTCATTTCGGACGATTGCGTCAAAAATAGCATAATTTCCTAATTTTTCTTACTGATTGGCCCGTTGCAAAATAATACTAATAGAAGTGCAAGTTTTGAAATCTGTGTGATCTATTTATAGACATTTTTGTTCGTTTCAAAACCAAGTTAAGTTAACTATTTTAAATTTACTTTTATTCATCAGATAGAAACATGGCTGATCATGAGCACGAATTCGAAAGCACCACATCGGGCGCCTCTGACACATTTCCCATGCAATGTTCTGCACTGAGAAAGAACGGATTTGTCGTCTTGAAAGGAAAGCCTTGCAAAATTGTCGATATGACTACATCCAAAACAGGAAAGCACGGCCATGCTAAGGTACACATTGGAAATTTATCTCATTTTTAACTTTTTCAAACTGATTTAGTTTTTAGTAAGTTTGCGATAAACTTTTCAAAAAAACATTTAAAATCTTTTGAAAAATTTATCTTAAAAGGTGCATCTCGTGGGGTTGGATATCTTCACTGGTAAGAAGTGTGAAGATATCTGCCCATCAACTCATAACATGCAAGTACCCAGTGTTACAAGGAAGGAACTCGAGGTATCGACTCGCTGTTACATCATAATTAACTTATATACAAATTAATTAATTAGTGTTTTTTGTTGCTTATATAATGTTTATTTTCTACTATCCATTTTTCATGTTCTTTACCTTAATTTTATCCTAAAATTTATTAAAGAATAATTTATGCTAAAATTTAATCTGAAAAGTTTACTGACTCCAAAAATTTAGGTGTCTATGATATCTTGTTAATGCTAAAATTTGCATTATTTGACCAACAGGTCATTGATTTATCTGAAGACGGGTTCTTCTCACTGATGGGTGAAGATGGAGACATGAGGGATGACCTGAAGATCACTGAAAATTGCTCCCCCAATACACCCGAGGCCATTCGAGAACTCATCGCCACTGCCGAGGCATCTGGTGAAAGAGTTTTGGTATGCAGTCCTTGTTACAGATTCTTGTTTTTCTGAGATTTCTGGATGTTTTCTAATTTTTCAGATTCACATAGCTCATCAATCACTGGTTGTAATTTGCCTGCTTGCTTGTTTGCCTGTCTATTTGTAGTTTTGTTTATCTAGGGTTTTTGAATGCTTTTGCTATTTATTCAATGATTTAGATTTAATGGTCTATCTATTCTATGTCTGTGTACCTGTTAAATTATTTAGTTTTTGTGGTTTGTGTTTCTATTTTATTTGCTATTGATTTAGGCTCTTTATTCTCTTCATTTATGGTTTGATAATTTCAATGTGGTTGTAGTTTTCAGTAAACTCCATCCTATTAATTTATAGAGTTATGATGGCTCATTCTGTCTAAATTGTAAATTTTGTTGGATGTAATTTTTTATGGTTTTACTTAGCATGTATATGTTTTTTTTCATCTTGCTGTCATAGAGTGTCTTAGTTAGATCATCCTGTTTTAACTTTTTCCTGGCGAGTAGTTTTAACCATTTTGAAAAATAATTGTATAATTAATTTACACACTCTATGAAAGTAATATTATTGAGTAATAATTTTATCTGATGGAAATTTTGAAATAAATTACTCTGCTGTGTTTAATTATTTATATTTGATTAATGTAATTATTATTGATTAATAATTGATAATGCCATGATTTGTTATATTGTAATATTTTAAAATTAAATAAAATTAATATTTATATTTATAAAATTTTAGGCCACTGTGTGGAAGGCAATGGGAGAAGAAGTAGTCAAGGAGTTGAAGACTGGAAAGGCTAATTAAACGACGATGACTGACAATCAGTTAAAGATTTAATTAGTTGATTGATAAGTTAATTGATTGGTTAGTTGAATAATAAAGCACTGCTTGGTATCGGGCTGTGGTTTTTTTCTATAAATCGTTGGCAGATTATTAACGTCATTAGTGTTTGTTTGTTTTTATTTATAATTATTGTTATATTAATTATTATGAAATAATATTCTCACAGTGCAAACACATCAGTAATAATAATAAATATTTGAGTGAGTGATGGTAATTGGAATGATGATGAGTGAATTTGATATGTTTTTAGTGAAAACCTTCTACACTATAAATAAAGGCATATATATATATTTTTAAATATAATAAATTTCATTGTTATTATTATATTATTATTGTTATCAATATTAAAATACACAAATATTGTTTGTTTGTTCTCTTAAATGTCTTTAGTGCTATGAAGTTTCCATTGTTTTGTTTTTTTCAAAAAGTTAGTTGTGTTTTGTATAGGTCGTTGGCCTTTCAATCTGTTGATGAGTGATAATTGGTTTATAATTTTAATTAATAAGCAAACAAATGTTCTCCAATTTTGAGTTCTTGTTTAAAGTACGAATGCACTTGCTATTATTAATTATGATTTAATTTCAATTCATTGGTTTGTTGTGTAAAATGTTTTAAAACAAATAAAGTGAGAGCCGATATACTGAGATTGACAAATTCACTAGTTTTGTTCTGTTTTGGGCACTTTTTGGCTGTTTGTCACTAAAAAACAAATATTTTATATTCTTCTATACTGATGTAAAAAAACTTACTAAAAATTCATAAAAAATTTAATATGAAAAAACATGGTTTTAACCGGGTCCAGGTGATGAAGCTAATTTCTAGGTTAAACCACATGTTGCTCTAGGCCGCCCCAAGTAAAGCCATTCTGTTCAATGTAAACATACTAAAACCAGTTATGAAAAGAGGAAATTACTACAGATAATCCAACGAGGGCAATTAGAAGTTTTTTTGGTCATCGTGTCTAGGGAAATGTATAGAATATAACGTTTTTATAGAATATATAAAATATAGAATATTATCAAATGTAAAAAGTATATACGATAAATAGATATATATGTGATATATTTTATATATATGAATGTTAAATTCTAGATATATGACAAACTAATAGGGACATTTCATTGTCTTTGGTGTTAAGAGTAAATTAAAAAGAGTTGCAATGTCAATTGTTTTGATTTTGTGAGCGATAATAAGAGTTCACGCGTTATTTTATTAATAATTGTGTTTTAATTTACGATATTGTTAATTTCCGAAAATGTCATTAAAAATAAATAAAGATTTTGCTAAAAAGTTCAACGCAAGAAAACAGCGAGAAGAGTTACAAAAATGTTGGCTTCCTAATTTTCGAAGATATTCATTTTTTTCAATTTTGGATCATATTTTTTTCTAACTAAAAAATTTGCGCTTTAAAAATACTTAGTAGTATCTATTAACCTTCAAATATAATAATTTCATAATTGTATTATAATATAATACTGAATTGATATCAATTCAGTGAAATCAAAGTTTGATGATGAAGATTCTGATGAATCCTCATCAGAAAGTGAAGATGATGATGCCAAAGTATTTCTAATTATTTATTTCATTTAATTTTAATTTATTAATAACTTACTTTATTTGTATTTTATTTAAACATTTTTTTAATCTTGATTCACTTTTCATTTAGTTATTAACAATATCAATCTCAGCTTAATTTATAATTTTTAGTTTAAAAAACAGCTAATAGATAGATAATGAAAATAAATAATAAACTATTTTTAACAATAATTATACAAAGGCACTGACCAAACAACTGGACAAGCAATGGTTCTTCACATTAGCAGCCATTAAAAGTAAAAATCCTAAAATATACGATCCAAGTGTGAAATTTTTTGACAAGTCTGAAGGTAGTACTTATTTTTTTATTAAAAAAATTCATTTTTAAACATTAGAAAATTTTATGATTTTGATCAATTTATGTTGAATGATGTTTCAAATTTGTGTTTCGATAACTAGTTTTAGAGTTTTTGATAACTCTGTTGATGAATAAATGTCACTTTTATTGCTAATAATTTTTGTTTAGTCTTTATTTAATAACGTAAAATTTTTTTCATAATAATTTTAATAATAGTTTCAGTAATTTAGTCAATAATTTTGTTATTTATGATGAAATCATTAATAAAGTCTTTGACAATTTCTCAAAACAGAAGCTCAATCATCATTGACCCCATCGCCATCATCATCACCCGAACCAAAGAAAAGAAAACAAACAAAAACATGTAAACTGAACGACTATCAGAATAAATTTCTCATCGAAAGAGGAGGGTGGGTTGTTTATTATTATTATTATCATTATTATTTTGTTATTCTCATCATTGTGGCTATTCATCATTTACCTCTATTGTATTTTTATTATTATTGAAAAACATCATAATATAAATTTATATTCATAGGATTGAATCAAACTCAGATGCGAGCGATGAAAAAGAAGATGACGATGACAATGAAAATAATACTAATGATAACAATAATAGTAATAATAATTATGATGGTGGGGGTAATGATAATGGTGCCAAGAAAAACAGTTGGAGTTATAGGGATAACTATGATAAAGATGCTGATGTTGATATTAAAGAAAGGTTTTTTTTCTTTGATTTAATTTTGGTTTTTTGAAATTTCTCCTTCTTATTATTATTATTGTTATAATAATATTATTTATTATTATTATATATATATATATATTATTCAACTGATCGCCTAATTTGGCGCAAAAAATTTATGGCAAAGAAAACAACGTCCTACCTCGGGGAACTGGGTCTCTGGATGCTAAACGAAGAATGATTGATTATTATATTATTATTATTATCTACATCGTTTTAAGATCATGGTTTAAACTTTTATTTCTGTAAATTGTTGTTTTCTTTTTAAAAAAATCCATCATATAAAATAAATAAAATTATAAAATATTTCATAATTTAATCAATTTTACTATTTATAATTTTTATTGTAATCAATAGAAGAAATTAATTTTTCCAGTATAAAACTTTTAACCAAAGACGTTGATGATGGTGAGGACGACGACGATGATGATGATGGCTGTGGCTTGTTCCATGTGTTCAAGAAAACTGGTCAAGATGATTTGAATAATAAGGTATGTGCGTGTGTATGTGTTTGTGCGCGCGCGTGTGTGTGTGCGTGCGTGTGTGTATGTGTATGTTTACAAGAGAAAGGAATAAAAACGGACCAAGCACACACATACACATCAAAAAACCACACATACACACACACATCAAATGCCTCTAAAGAATGTGGGAAAAGAGAGAATGACTTAAACCTTTTATATTCACTATCATCGCGAAAATCATCTTCGTCATTGGGGATTGCCATCACTGTCATCATCATAGCCATCATCTACATCGTCGTCGTCATCATCATAGGATTTACTGGCCGGGTCAGATCACGTGTCATGGTTGAAAGGTCAGCAGGTTGACCTTGGAGATGAGAAAGAGGCAGAAGTGTTGGTGGGTTTGCGTGTTTGGTTGATTGATTGGCCGGTTTCGATTGGTTGTGTTGTGCATTTGGTTGATTGGTTGAGGAATTATTTGGCTAGTTTGTTGATTTGTTGGCTGATTGATTAATATTACTAAATAATTACTAAACGAAAGATTAAGGAAAAGTCTGTGACATGTGTTGGTAAAAATACTTTCAGACTGAACTGCGTGTACTTGCTTCCCTATACAAGCACAGCAAAGTACAAATCGGATTGTTTCTAGGAATCATCTAGTGCACTTTTAACCTCATTCAATTTTCACCTCACTAATTATTTTCACCTTAAGCATTAACAAACTCCACCCACAACCAACCAATCGACCAATCACAGGAACCGCTCAAGAAAAAATGGACCAGTAAGGACTTAGACGACAACGAAAGATTTCTTCGAGACTACATCCTCGATCAGAAATATCTCGGCCGTGACGACGACGACGACGATGATGATGGTGACGATGACGATGATGACATCAAAGCTGAGAGAGAGAAGAGTGTAAAGGATGAGAAAGATGATAATGATGATGATAGGTAAGAAAAGTAGGTTTTAATTTACCAAAATGAGGAAGTCTGATGGAAATGAATATAAATTGTAGATGATCGTAATGATATATGAAGATGATAATTTATTTTTTAAATTAACTTTAGTTTTATGCAAAAGAAACAAATGATAATGAAGAAAGATGATGCTGATGGGGATGACGACGATGAGGAAGAAGAGAGACGGGCTGCTGAGTTTGAACATAAGTACAACTACAGATTTGAAGAGCCTGATGCTCTGTTTGTTAGTCCATTCATTCATTTGTTTATTCGTTCGTTCGTTCGTCCATTCATTTGTACGTTTGATCATTCATTCATTCATCCATTCATTCATTCGTTATTATTTTCATCTTAACCATCATCATCTTAGTCAAAGTTATGTCATTCATCATCATTACCATCTTAATAATTGCGTATTAATCTCTGTCATCATTATCATCATCTTAGTCATCATCACCATCATCATCATCAAGATAAAATCATACCCGCGAACGATAGCTGAGTCGGTGAGGAAGAAGACGAAGAACAAGAGACTCGAGAAGCGAAAAGAAATTGAACAGAAAAAAACCCAAGTACGTTTTACATCTTCATCTAGCTAGCTCAGGCAGTACAAGCACCGGTTATATCTTTATCTCTGGCAAACCGTGCCCTTGTTGCCTGGTTCAATTACAGCCTGAGTCACATTCATAAATCTATTGCTATCTAATTGGCTCAGTGTAGCATTACAATATTTTTTTTTATAGGTAAAGTTAGACAAAAAGGCAGAGATGGATAGGTATGTCAAGCTGAAGAAGAAGGAAGAAAAGAAGAAACTGAAGAAGCTGCAGAAGATTAAGGGGGGTGAAATTAATACTGCTAATATTAATTTGGATGGCGATTTTGATGAGAAGGAACATGAAGAGTTCATGAAGGTTTGCTTGTTTGTTTGGCTGGTTGTTTGTTTGAATGTTTGATTAATTGTTTGTTTGGTCGGTTGTTTATTTGTTTGTTTGGCTTGTTTGTATATATGTTTGTCTATCTCTATGCTGAATGTTTTTAGTTTGTAGGCTTGTTCATTTGTTATTTCAAAAAAAATTTCAATTCATTAACAAAAAATTTCAAATAGAAAAATTTTGGCAAAGATTTTTATGATGACATGGACTATGGAGGTGAGGACGACGACGACGATGCCAAGCCCAATTTCGCTAGCATGGATTCAGATAATGATTGTTAGTGATGAGCTATAATATAATATAATATAATATAATAATAATAATTATAATTATGATAATAATTTGTTTAATATATTTTGTTTTACTGTCAATATAACTTTTAATATTTGAGAAAAACAATTTTTCTTTCTAGATTATGATTGGGACAATTGGGATGGCGGTTATGGTAATGATGGTGGAAATGCTGGAGGCGATGATGATGATGACGTTCATGGTGATGGTGGTAATTTGGTTAGAAATAGGAAAAAGGTTTTTTAACTTTTTTTTCTGTTTTATTTATTCAAAAATTAATAATTCATTCTACCTATTTATTCAGTTTCCATATAAATTTCTGTCGTTATTTCTTGTTTATCTACTGCTTCTTTTACTACTACTAATATTATTGCTACTACTACTTCTACTGCTGCTACTACTACTACTTACTACTACTACTACTACTACTACTACTACTACTGCTACTACTACTACTACTACTATGACTACTACTTCTACTATTACCACTACCACTGCTTCTACTACTACTACTACTACTATTACCGCTACTACCACCATCACTACTACTACTACTTTTCTTTACTTTACTATTAATAATAATTAAATTACACAAATAATAGTTGAACTTGAAATTTGATGATTAAAATTTTAGAAAAAAAACCTCAAGAAGAGTAAAAAAATTGAGAAGCGACAGCAGCAACGCGTCGCTCCGAAACGTCCGTCAAAGTTCGCCACTGCACTAGAACAAAACAGGAACAAACCTATCTTTGATCCAAGTAAGTTAGATTTGATTATATAATTTACTCGCAAATTACATGCAATCAAACCACATTTGTTCGTTTGCTCGTTCGTTCGTTCACTCACTCATTCACTCATTCATTCATTCATTCACTCATTCGTTTGCTCATTCGTTTGTTTAATCGAGACATTTGTTAAAATCACACCACTTCAATATTTTCATAAGTTTAGTAACCGTATTTAAAGGTAACTTTTTTTTAAGCGTTTGTATCTATTTGACCGAATTAGATTCAATCTATTAGACTATTGTTATGTATTGCTGTAAGATTATGCAATAATATTATAATAATTTATGTTAATTTATGAAGAAAGACCACGAGTTAATTATCATCCTTTACTGTTAATTATTGTTTTCTGACTTGACTATTTCACAAAAGTCTGGCCTAAACATCTCATAGGTAAAAAATCGTTTGAGAATTACGTGTCAACTTATTATAAGCTGGAATGCGAGGACGAAGTGGATGGCGCTCCTTGTAGATTTAGATACAGAAACGTTTTCGCTGCTGATTATGGTCTGACTACGGATGAGGTATTAGTCTAGGAATGTTCATTTGTTTTTATCCGTTCGTTTGTTTGCTCATTAGTTCTCTTGTTCGTTCGTTCGTTCGATCACTCATTCGATCATTTTGTTTTTCGTTAATTCATCAGTTCGTTTCTTTGTTCTTTCATTTGAAAGTTTGTTAATTATTCAATTCATTCACTTATTGATTCATTCATCTATTGGTCTATGATTGATTGCTTAATTAATTGATTTATTCATTTGTTCATTCATTCGTTCATTCTTTTATTCATTCTTTCATTCTTTTGGATATTACTGCAAATTATCTTTAAAAGTTGTAAAAAAAAGAAATTTGATTGACAGGTGCTGGAGGCCCCAGACCAAGAACTGAATGCATGGATCTCCGTCAAAAGTATTACTGCATGCAAGTTTGTAATGAGGACTTTTTCTTAAAAAATATATTATATTCTCATAAATAACGTTAGTTTAGGTATATATTATGTTAATTTATGCTAATTTCTGCGTAAATTATGTTAATTTATGTTAATATTCAACAGGACGGACGAGGAAGAGCAGTTTTTGAATAAAATTATTAAGAAGAAAAAGCAAAAGAACAAAGTTTTTAAAAGTTTATATGCCAAGTCAGTCATTAATTTATTAATTTATGTATTTATTCCTTTATTATATCTGTGATTTATTAATTAGTTACGTATTCAGAATGGTTTTTTGAGAAAATGTTTTATAAATTTTAGAACATATTAAAAATACGGTAATTTATAAATGTACGAAATTGCTGGGTACCCATTGGCTGTTTGTGTTTTAGCTAATGGAAGCTTGGTGAATGAATGTTTGTGTACAGTTTCTGTCTCAAAATCTCAAATTTGGGTGTGAATGTTGTGCAAGAATGGGTACGTTTTAATACTTTTAATGACATTTTTTACGCTCTTTTATTTCAGAAATGAACTTTGCTAAATCATCTTAACCTTTTTATTTTAATTAAATGATCTTAATTTCTTTATTCTGATTCTTGATGAAAAAAAAGGATGTTTGATTTTGTTTTTACAGGCCGGTTGTCGAAGAGGAGAAAGACGCAGATGTCGATGAGAACATTAAAAAGATGAACGTCAAAAGAACCCACGAACAAAAAGATGACTCCGAACTTTTGCAGCCGAAATCTAAGAAGCCTAAATTAACTAACGAAGATAACAGCGTCAAAGTAAACAATACTGATAAAGTCGGAGAAATTTCAGACACCAAAAATCTCAAGAAAAGAAATAAAAAGAAGAAAAAAAAATCGGGAAATGACGAGTCATGTTCTACA